TAGCTGGTGCCCCGGGTGCATACCACCATGCCCAGCTTAGAGATGAAAATTTTTACTTGCTACCTTCCAATTATTCTGCCTGAGCTGATCAGTAAGCCAAAGATGCAATGTAACTGACTAACAGAGGCTCAGAGATTATTGTTTATGAACCTCTCTACCAATGACAGAGGTAGTAAGGCCAACAAAATTAACAAGTTGCTGTAACCATTGAACTTCCATAAGCATAAACAAACAAAAGGAGTTTTGACCCTTACTGGACATCAAATACAAAAATTAACGTCCAAAGGATCATAGACCTAAATGTAAAACTTAAAAATAGAAAACTTGTAGAAGAAAATAGGAAAAATCTTTGTGACTTTGAGTTAGGCAAAGATCTTGGAAAGGACACAAAAACTATAAGCCATAAAATAAAATAATTGATAAACCAGATATCATCAAAATGAAAACACTCTGCTTGCTGAAAGACACTTCAGAAAATGAAATGAATAACCACAGGCAAGGAGAAAATATTTGTAAAAGACATATCTGATCAAGGACTTATATCCTGTGTGCGTGTGCGTGTGTGTATTTGCCCTTACAGTTCAATAGTAAAAAAAAAAAATGCCAATTTTAAAAATGGGTAAAAATTTTGAACAGACAGTTCACTAAACAAAAGATACATATTGCCAGTAAACACACGAAAGATACCTAATACTAAGGAAATGCAAATTAAAACCACTGTACAGATATTAGAATAGTGAAAAGTAAAATTAAAAGGATAATACCAACTGCAGATTGAAGGCAACTATACCTCCTATAAGTTGCTGAGAAATAAAAAATAAGCAGCCTCTTTAGAAAACTGCTTGGTAGTTTCTCATATAGTTAAACATATAATTATTATTAGGTCCAACAATTTTATCACTGTGTTGTTATCCAAAAGAAATGAAAACAGGGCGGGTGCGGTGGCTCATGCCTGTAATCCCAGCACTTTGGGATTACAAAAAAAAAACAACAACAAGAAATGAAAACATATGTCCATACAGTTGACTTGCATTGGAATGTTTATAGCAGCTTTATTAATAATCACCTCAAACTGAAATAACCCGAATGTCCATGAACCAGTGAATGGATAAATGAATTATAATATATTCATATAATGGAATATTCCTCATCTGTAAAAAGGAACAAAGGATTATACATTGAGCAACACTGATGGACTTCAAAAGTATTTTGCTAAGTGAAAGGAACTAGACACCAAAGACTATATACTTTCTAATTTCATTTACATGACATTCTAGAAAAGGTAAAACTATGTGAACAGAAATCAGATCAGTGGTTACTAGAGGATGGGAATAAAGGGAAGGAATTGAAACAAATAAACAAAAAAGCTGTTTGGGGTGATGAAGTATTCTCCATTTTAATCAGGGTGCTAGTGGATTTATGCCAGTATGTATTTATCAAAACTCCTCTAACTATTCACCTAGAGTGAATTTTATCCTATGTAAAATTACCACAAGAAACCTAAACTTAAAAAAATCAATACGGTGGAAACTAAATATTTCTGCTTGGCATTTAGGTTCAAATGACAGCAATGTTTTTGAAAATGTGCCAAGATCCTAAGGGAGGCAGGAAGTCGTTACCATGTATCTTTGCCCATTTCTACCCATTCATCTCCTCCACTCTCTCCTTTGCTCACTAGTTATGGTGCACACAGGCTCCCTTCCTGTCTTTAACTCAGAAAGATCATGGCAGTCCCAAGCTCTTTGCACGTGCTGCCTCCCAGATCTCTGCACAATACACTCCTTCATGTCTTGTTTCCAAAGTTAACCTTCTGTGAGAGGCTACCCTGACCACCCTGTGTAAAGTAGCTATCCCCTAACCCACGTCACTATCACATTAATCTGTATTATATTTTCCCCTACAGTCCTTATCACTATTTTAAGTTTTTACTTGTTTGCATACTTCTTATCTGTGTCTCTCTAGAACACGTTATAGAGAGAACACTTCCTTAAAAAGCCCTACCGGCTTTTATATGTCTTTTTTAACCTTCTAAATCAGGGCTAGCACAACAGACACACAATACAGATTTATTGACCAAGCATATTCCTTGTGAAGCTATAGCAGACATCTTTAAGTAATAAGCTTTCCATTGAGATTCTGCAAATATAGGCACATAATTGTTTATCACACATTATATTGTCACTAGCCCTTCTCATGATATGGACTTCATAGCCATTATTTATTTGAAGTTTATATGAAGAAACACTAGACTGAGAGTCAAGAGTCCAAGATTCTAGCCTCGATTCTGCTACTAACTGTAAGACACTGCACATTTGGGCCCAGTAATTTTGTTTCTAGAAATTTATTTCAAAGAAAAAATTGGACGCGTGCACAAACATACATGCACTGGGGTGCTTATCACCCTGTGTACTTATTGGGAAAAATTGGGAGAAAAATAATTTAACACAATGAGGCTTTGGCTGAAGAGACTGTGCTATAGCCACCAAAGTCACACTATGAATTTATTTGAAAGTGATGATTGTATTCATTTTGTTACTTTTTCAATAAATGCTCATTGAGTACTTGCCAATTTTAGGCACTGTTGTATATAGTTTCAAAGAATATAGCAGTGAATGAAACAAAGGTCCCATGCTCATAAACCTGATATTTTTGAAGGATAAGAAAGGCAATAAAATACATAAACATATTATATGACTTCAGATGATGAGAGGTTCTATGAAAAAAAAGATAATACATAGTAAGGGTTTTGGGGGCATCTCCCAAGACAAAGAGTAGTGTAACCCCAGAAGAACTCTTGGAGGTCACATTTGACCAGAAACCTGAATGAAATGAGGAAACGAGATGTGTGAATATCTATGGAAAGAGTTCCAGGCAAATGCATTGGCCCCAAGGCCAGATTGTACTTTTGTAAGGCCTATTATACAAGCCAGGGGGAGGAGATCAGATTTTATTCTAAAAGTAATAGAAAGCCTTGGAGGATTTTGAATAGAGGAGTGATAAGACCGGTCTTACATTTTAAGACGGTGTGGTAAATAGACCAAGGGAGGACAAAAATCAAAGCTACTGCAGAAGTCCAGGGGAGAGATAACGGCAGCATGGAATAGGACCACAGCAGTAAGGACCGTGGTCAGTCATATTTGGAATTTTATTTACTTATTTTTATTATTTATTTTTTTTTTAGACGGAATTTCACTCTTGTTGCTCAGGCTGGAGTGAAATGGCGTGATCTCGGCTCACTGCAACCTCCACCTTCCAGGTTCAAGCGATTCTCCTGCCTGAGCCTCTCGAGTAGCTGGGATTACAGTCATGGGCCACCACACCCAGCTAATTTTTTGTATTTTTAATAGAGACGAGGTTTCTCCATGTCAATCAAGTTGGTCTTGAACTCCCGACCTCAGGTGATTCCCCTGCCTCGGCCTCCCAAACTGCTGGGATTACAGGCACGAGCCATCACATCCGGCCTATTTACTTATTTTAAAATAGAGTTAATGCAGAAGGCTGGTATGGTAGTTTCGGTGGAGTATGGAAGAAAGGAGAAAAAGGTGATTCCTTAGATTGAACATTTGCAATTGAGGGAAGTGCAACTGGGTAAAGAAGTCTGTCACCACTGGATATGAGGGCCTGGAGTGCAGAGGAAACAGTGTTCCAGGGCCTACATGTAATCATCTGGAGATATCCCACTGAGAAATGGTTTGAGAACCGAGTCCCGGGGCAATCCAAATAATCAAATGTGCCAAATGCTGCTTATAGATGGAGTAACATGAAGGCTGAGAACGACCATTGGAAGTCACTGGCGCAGGACATATTGGGGTCAGTGGTGAGGAGAAAAGCTGGATTGGGGTATGCTCAATGCACATGGATTTCTTTTAATCAAATAAATTGATATGTGCGTGGGGTGGTGGGGGATAGTGGGGGGTGGTGGATTAAGATGGGGCAGGCGGGGTGCGGTGGTTCACACCTATAAGCCAAGCAGTTTGGGAGGCCAAGGCGGGCAGATCACTTAAGGTCAGGAGTTCGAGACCAGCCTGACCAACATGGTGTAACCATGTCTCTACTAAAATAAAAATAAAATAAAATTATCTGGATGTGGTGGTACACGCCCGTAATCCTAGATGTTTGGGAGGCTGAGGTACGAGACTCACTTGAACCCCGGAGACTGAGGTTGCAGTGAGCCGAAATCGCGCCCTTGCATTCCAGCCTGGGCGGGAGCGAGACTCCGTCTCAAAGAAAGAAACAACAAAAAACCTGCATACCTATATTTTCGAATTTGTATGTAAGATGTCTAATTGTATGCGTTAAATTTAAAAAGACAAAAGGAATAGAACTACCAGCAGCGACTAAGTCAGTAAGTGTGGTAATGGGGGTGGGAGGGGCAGAACACAACGCAGGCGTAATAGTAATAGCTAGCGAGCGTTTCTTTTGGAGGTCCTTTTCGTGTCATAAATTCCTAAATTCATGGAAGTCTTACAAGAGCATATTACACATTAAAATATAAGATTGTTCCTGGTCAACAAGGGGTCGATGAAAAATAAAGCAATAAGGTATCTTGTTAAATTTTATGCCTTAAATTTAGAAAGAAACGAAGAAAGAAGCACAACCCGAAACTGCGACTTTTTTTTTTCTTTTTTTTGAGACGGAGTTTCGCTCTTGTTACCCTGGCTGGAGTGCAATGGCGCGATCTCGGCTCACTGCAACCTCTGCCTCCTGGGTTCAAGCAATTCTGCCTCAGCCTCCCGAGTAGCTGGGACTACAGGCATGCGCCGCCATGCCCAGCTAATTTTTGTATTTTTAGTAGAGACGGGGTTTCACCATGTTGACCAGGATGGTCTCGATTTTTTGACCTCGTGATCCACCCGCCTCGGCCTCCCAAAATGCTGGGATTACAGGTGTGCTGCGACTTTTAAGTCTGTCAAAAGTGTCGGGTTGGGGGGAGTAGGATATACGCAGACGCAATTGAGGCGGATCTAGAATCTCGTTAAAAGACAGCTCTTGTAGCCAATCAAGAACAGAGTCGGTGGCTTCTTCCGGAAGGAGGCCGGAAGTTGGTTTCGGCTGCAGAGGCGAAGGCGGCTACCAGTGTAAAGCCAGAACTGAGGTGAGTGGGCGGCTACGGCTTGGGGCCCCCGCCTGTGTGCATTTTTTTTCTTCCAGACCCCGCGGCTTCCTCTGTGCTGGACTGGGAACTGGGAAGGTATTGCGGAGTTCTGCCTCCGAAGGCGCTCTCTCGGCTTTCTCTTCCGAGTCTCTCCGAGAGCGTGGCCTCCCCGCCACTTGTGGGGGCCTCGGGGTCGACATCCTGGAGGAGGGGGCTCTGAACGCGGCCAGCTCGGGGCTTCTTCCATGTGGAGACGCCGAGCCGGAGTGGAGGTTGAGAGACCGGGTGTCTAGTCTCCGCGCCGCTGTTTTTCTAAGTTATGTGGCCTTGGACGAGTCTTTTGCCCTCTCTGGCCCTTTGTAACATGAGAATAGCCCTCCCTGCCTTTCCTTTTTCTCGTAGCAGTTGTGAAACAGCTGATATGTGGGGCAGGCGAGGGCGGTAGATCCCAAGCCTAGTCAGATTTATCTGGAGAAGTTTTTCAAGCGGCATTCCGGGGCCCGTTCACAGTCGACAGCATGAATACAGTCTGTAGGGCTGAGACCCTGGAATACCTGTCGACTTCTGGTGAAGCTCCTTCTCCCTCAGTAGAACAAACACGAAGTGGATCTTGAGTCTGAACCGGCTACGATGCTTGGCTCTGGTTTTATTAAAATAAATGAATTTATTTGAAAAGTTCCATCTAGAGAGACAATAGAGAAAGAAATGTAATTTTTGTAATATGCAAGTTCTTATGGTGTAGATACTTCACGGCTTAGGGATATATGAGAGCTTGCCCTTTGGAACTAAAGGGACCTGGGATAAGAATTCCTGTTGTATCATTTATTAACCCTTTGATCTGGGGCAACACTTCCCCTCGTTGAGACTTGGGATACTCACCTCTAAAATGAAATTGATAATAGAACTTAATTCATGGCACCGTATGGTGGCATACGTCTGTAATCCCAGCACTTTGAGAGGCCAAAGTGGGCGGATCACTTGAGGTCAGGAGTTCCAGGCCAGCCTGGCCAACGTGGTGAAACTTGTCTTTACTGAGAAGTACAAAAATCTAGGCGTGATGGCGCACACTTGTAGTCCCCAGCTGCTCAGGAGGCTCATGCAAGAGAATGCCTTGAAGCTGGGAGCCGAGGTTGCAGTGAGCCTTGATCGTATCGCTGCACTCCAGCGTGAGAGACAGATTGAGACCCTGTCTCAAAACAAAAACAAAAACCACCCAAAAAAACCTTAATTCATGGAATTGTTGTGAAGATTATGTTAGGCCACAAAACGTGTAGTTGGCCTAAGGAAAAGGGCAACTGAAATACAGGAATACACATGGTGTAGCAAAGTACAGACCAGCACTCCCCACCTCAAAAGGTTTGAGTGGGATGAAACGTGAGCTGTCAACAATTGTATTTTGAAGTTCCAGATCAATGTTAATTCCTTGATTTTGGTAATTGTGCTGTGGTTAGAAGAAAACACACAAGTATTTAGGGGTAAAGGAATGAGAAACCAATAAAGCAAATGAAGGTAACTGTTAACATATGGAGAATCTGAGGGAAGAATATGAAGTGTTCTTTGTATATTCATGCACTTTTTGCGTAATCTGAATTTATGTTAAAAGCTTTTAAATATTGGCCAGGCGTGGTGGTTGACGCCTGTAATTCCAGCCCTTTGGGAGGCCAAGGCGGGCAGATCACCTGAGGTCAAGAGTTAGCCACCAGCCTGGCCAACGTGGTAAAACTCTGTCTCTACTAAAAATACAAAAATTAGCTTGTATTTTTAGTAGAGACAGAGTTTCACCACGTTGAAATGTGTGGTGGCGCATTTCTGTAATCCCAACTACTCTGGAGGCTGAGGCAGGAGAATTATTTCAGCTCAGGAATTGGAGATTGCAGTGATCTGAGATGGCACCACTGCAGTCCAGCCTGGACAACAGAGCAACACTCCATCTCAGAAAAACAAACAAAAACCAAAAGTTAATGTGTCCATATAAAATTGCATAGTACACTGTGACAAAAAGGGTATGGAACTGAATTATCATTTCATTCAGGAACTTTGGATCATACCAGGTGTTTAGGATTTAGTAATGTTAATTTTGTCAGAGTGTTTGTGAGAGATACAAGTGTTTGCTGTTAAAAATTAATCTGTAACATAAAGCAAAAGTGATTATGACCTGAGATTGGGAGACAACATGTGTAGTTTGGTTATGGAGGAGTAGAGAAATGGGCCAAAGTGGTAAGGGGTGTGGAATCCAGAAGATTTTCTTTAAAGATGAAAAGATGGTACATTTTTTTTTATGCTGATGAAATTATTAGGGAGAGAATGGAAAATATGTGAATGGTTGAGAATATAATGCCTATTTAGAAAAGATGGCAGACTTTCCCTATCATAAATGTTAGTTTTAGAAACCAAGGAGATCATCTTGTCTTGGGCCGCAAACAACTGGAAGAAAAGGAAGAAAATATTCTTTCTGTAGTTACGAAATGTAACAGGTTCATTTCGTGGCTCTACTCTAATAAATCTTTGGTCTGTGTCTGTAGGTTCTTGATGCAATGGGTGAACCACAGCAAGTGAGTGCACTCCCACCACCTCCAATGCAATATATTAAAGAATATACAGATGAAAATATTCAAGAAGGCTTAGCTCCCAAGCCTCCCCCTCCAATAAAAGACAGTTATATGATGTTTGGCAATCAGTTCCAGTGTGATGATCTTATCATCCGCCCTTTGGAAAGTCAGGGCATCGAACGGCTTCATCCTATGCAGTTTGATCACAAGAAAGAACTGAGAAAACTTAATATGTCTATCCTTATTAATTTCTTGGACCTTTTAGATATATTAATAAGAAGTCCTGGGAGTATAAAACGAGAAGAGAAACTAGAAGATCTTAAGCTGCTTTTTGTACATGTGCATCATCTTATAAATGAATACCGACCCCACCAAGCAAGAGAGACCTTGAGAGTCATGATGGAGGTCCAGAAACGTCAACGGCTTGAAACAGCTGAGAGGTTTCAGAAGCACCTGGAACGAGTAATTGAAATGATTCAGAATTGCTTGGCTTCTTTGCCTGATGATTTGCCTCATTCGGAAGCAGGAATGAGAGTAAAAACTGAACCGATGGATGCTGATGATAGCAACAATTGTACTGGACAGAATATACAAGAAAGAGAAAATTCGGGTCACAGGAGAGATCAGATTATAGAGAAAGATGCTGCCTTGTGTGTCCTAATTGATGAAATGAATGAAAGACCATGAAAGATGTTTCTCTTTTCTTTTTTACTTTTGATAAATAGCATCATATATTATTTTCTTTTGGACAGTCTTCAGAGAGGTTTCACTAAAAATGTAAACAGCTTTAATCTTGACTCCAATTTTTTCAATTATGAGATGTCATAGGCAGTAATTTTGCTGTATAACAAGCATAGGCAAATGAGTACCCTGCACTAAGAATAATCACTTTAGAAAGCAAAGTGTTAGCTGCTGTTGTACAGGACATTCCTATGTTTTGGAATTGCAGTAAAACTTTGATGATAACCTCAATAATAACAAAGTTTTCATCCTTGAAAAGGGGATTTATTATTTTCTTTAAGAATGACAGATAAGTAATAGACATCAAGCTGTATAAATGTAAAACTATGAGATCTTTAGACTTAATTAAAAATTTTGCTTAAGCTCCAGAAAGTAGTATGACATGTTAGTAGAGAGGAACCCAGTAAAGTTATAAAACAAATTTATTTTTTTTCCTCATAACTGTTCCTGTAAACCCATTATCTCAGTCTTTTCTATCCTGAATAGACTCTTGCGTGGAAGTCCCATAGATTGTTTTTTTCTCTAGTCACTCAGGTAATAAGTCCTTTGGTCACTTTAAGTTACAGACATTAATTTTAGTAATTAAGATGTCTATGTTATTAGCTACACATTTTCTTTAAAGCTAAAGTCAGACTTGCTTAAGTCCCCAATGGGATAGGGGTTTGGTGGCAGGCTACTAGATATCTACTAAAATTTTTGCTCTTTGAAGATAAGTTGCTGAGATATAGCAACCCAGCCAGGGACATTTCCCTGCTTTCCCAGCATCTCTATGAGAAAATGTGACTAAGTTTTAGGGAGTGAAATGTGGGCATAAGAATCCAGGCTTGCCCCATAAACATTTCTTGCATGATCCTTCATTCTCTTTTTTTTGTTTTGTTTTGTTTTTTGAGACGGAGTTTCACTCTTTGTTACCCAGGTTGGAGTGCAATGGCGTGATCTCGGCTCACTGCAACCTCCGCCTCCTGGGTTCAGGCAATTCTCCTGCCTCAGCCTCCCGAGTAGCTGGGACTACAGGCACACGCCACCATGCCCAGCTAATTTTTTGTATTTTTAGTAGAGACGGGGTTTCACCAGGTTGACCAGAATGGTCTCGATCTCTTGACCTTGTGATCCACCCGCCTCTGCCTCCCAAAGTCATTCTCTTCTATCTGCTGGTTGGATGGCCGTATCTGAGATAAGTCTGGAAGCCACTGAAGATGGCAAAAATTGTCAGTCTGAGTCTTCGAATGACTGTGAGGACTAAGTCTTCCTTTCATTAACTCCACACTACCCCTAGCTAATTGGACTTTATATGAGCAATTTCTTCTCTTCTTCTCCCCATTGCCCATCACCTCCTCCAACAACGTAGTAGTAGAGTTGACTGTGTGTCTGAGTTTCTCTCCCTGCCATTTTTTTAAATGTAGGCCACTGCTTCTCAAAGTATGTGGTCCTAGACTAGCAGCATTGGTATCATCTGAGGACTTGCTAAAAATAAAAGTTTCAGTATAATCCATAGGTTCAGAAAAATAAAGTTATCTGGCTCCATCCGAGACCTTTGAACCAGAAAGTTCTAGATGTAGGTTCCAGCAAGCTGTATTTTAAGAAGCCTATGTGATTATGATACATTCTCAAGATTAATAACCATTGAGGCCAGGTGCAGTGGCTCACGTCTGTATTCCCAGCACTCTGGGAGGCTGTGGCAGGTGGATCACCCAAGGTTGGGAGTTCCAGACCTCCCTGGCCAGCCGGGTGTGGTAATTCACACCTGTAATCCAAGCACTTTGGAGGCCAAGGTGGGCAGATCACCTGAGGTTGGGAGTGCAAGACCAGCCTGACCAACATGGTGAAAAATTTACAAAATGACCTGCCTGGCCAACATGGAGAAACCCTGTCTCTACTAAAATGCAAAATTAGTCAGGCATGGTGGTACATCCCTGTAATCCTAGCTACTCAGGAGGCTAAGGCAGGAGAATTGCTTGAACTCAGGTGGCGGAGGCTGTAGTGAGCTGAGATCGTGCCATTGCACACAGGCCTGGGCAACAAAAGCAAAACTCTCAAAAAAAAAAAAAAAAAAGCCACAAAAATCCATTGAGAGGCAATGCGTTTTCATAGATGTCTACTTTTTTATTTCTTCCTTAGCCCCTGGTGTCTAGCGTAGGGATTTGCTCCATTAGACTTTCATTGTTCCTAGAGCTAGCAAAATTCACTTTAAATTGACTATAGGAGGCTGGGCACAGTGGCTCATGCTTGTAATCCCAGCATTTTCAGAGGCTGGGGCGCGTGGATCACTTGAGGTCAGGAGTTCGATACCAATATGGCCAATATGGCCATCTCTACTAAAATTACAAAAATTAGCCAGCCATAGTGGTGGGCACCTGTAATCCCAGCTACTCAGGAGGCTGAGGCATGAGAATTGCTTGAACTCAGGGGACAGAGGTTGCAATGCGCCAAGGTTGTGTCCAGCCTGGGTGACAGATCAAAGCTCTGTCAAAAAAAAATATGACTACAGGTCACTTCTCTATGAAATGTGCATACTGTGCCTTCACAGATCCAGGGAGTGTAAGCTGTCCCTAGGTAGACACCTCTTTATCAGAAAGGCAGTTAGTTGGCTAGTCTCAACTTTTGTTTTTTTCTGGCATGTAATGTATTTGGTATAGATCTTCTGCCTCAGAGACTCCAGAGGACATAGTTCAGGCTCTCAAGCTTAAATTGTAGTGGGGAGAGTATCCCCTTGTGAGGTTCTCGAAGGGTGGACGTTGCATAGCACTTGAGCAGCTCTCCGAAGAAAATTATCTTTGAGAACCTTGAGAAAGGTGTTGGACTGAGGTGCAAAACCAGTTTTTGGCTACTTTGAAAATCTTTGCATGTAAAAAACAGAATCACCGCTGGGAGCGGTGGCTCATGCCTATCATTCCCAGTACTTTGGGAGGCCTGGGGTTGGGGGTGTGGATCACGAGGTCAGGAGTTCAAGACCAGCCTGGCCAAGATGTTGAAACCCCATCTCTACTAAAAATACAGAAATTAGGCAGGTGCGGTGGCATGGGCCTATAATCCCAGCTACTCAGGAGGCTGAGGCAGAGAATTGCTTGAACCCAGGAGGCGGAGGTTGCAGTGAGCTGAGATTGCACCACTGTATTCCAGCCTGGGTGACAGAGTGAGACTGCATCTCAAAAAAATCACATAAGATCCACAACACTACTTATATAAGAATGTGTGTGTGTGTTGGGCGGGGTGGGCATTGAGGGATTAAAATGCCACTGGGGGCCATGTACAGTGGCTCATGCCTGTAACCCCAGTACTTCAGGGGCCCGAGGTGGGAGGATGTCTTTAGGCCAGGAGTTTGAGACCAGCCTGGGCAACATAGTGAGACTGTCTCTACAACAACAACAAAATGCCACTGGGGAGGATCTCGTCTTGCAGATCTGTGAATGGGAACTGACATAAATTCCTAAAGCGTTCTGATGCAAACTGTTGTTAGACTGGAATGAAGAAGCTCTAGTGGTCTGATGGTTGACACAAGTTTAAAAGCATAATGTAGGTCTTTTAATCTTGTGTTAGAATATATCTCTGCACATCTGCTTATAATGAATATTCTCGAAAGATTGATTTACTGAAGTGAAAAGTCTGGAAGGATCACCTTTTAAGCAGCTTTTGAAATGGCTAATGCCCAGACCCCACACTGCAGAGATTCTGATTTCATTTTTTTGAACTGTAGTGGCAGCATTAGTTTTAAGAAATCTGAAGATGATTCTCTTGTGCAGTGGTTACAGAATGTTGCATTAATCAGTGCTTTGTTACTGTTGACAAAACCCTACTTGAACTAGTTTAAGCAAAAAGATGAATTTATGAAAAGGATATGGGGTATGGGACAGGTGTGGTGGCTCACACTTGTTATCCTAGCACTTTGGGAGGCCGAGGTGAGAGGATCACTTAAGCTCAGGAGTTTGAGACCAACTGGGGCAACATAGTGAGACCTCCTCTCTATTATAACTTAATAAAAAAAAGAAAGGACATGGGGTATGTCGACTGAAGGATAAGTTGAATATATAAATCGTGAGGAGGACAGAAGTGTCTGGATCGAGTTTTGAGTTAGTGGACCTGGAGACCATCCTTCCTGTTAGCGTCATTCTTTTTACAGATGAACTTCTTTAATGATGTAGGTAGAGGACATGGTGGCTACCAGTTCCCAAGTGTTAAGTGTTTCTGTGTGTACCACTGTCTGGCAGTTCCTTCTCTCTCAAATACAAACTTAAAAAAAATGAGGGGACGTTAATTAATCAGCTAGACATAAGGAATTAGGAGTTGCATACCTGATTCCAACTGGGCAAATCAACTGGGACTTGAATCCATTAAGAATTTGACAGTCCCCACTATGTCCATGTATAGAAGAGTCTGTCTCTCAGAGGAAGGAAGGGGCGCTGAGCTAATGATCATCAGCTGTCCATTACAAATTAGGCGCATGTAAACTTTTTTTCTTTTTTGAGATGGAGTCTTACTCTGTTGCCCAGGCTGGAGTGGCTGGAGTGCAGTGGTCCGATCTCAGCTCATTGCAACCTCTGCGTCCTGGGTTCAAGCAATTCTGTCTCAGCCTCCTGAGTGGCTGGGATTGCAGGCATGCATCACCACACCTGGCTAATTTTTGTATTTTTAGTAGAGATGGGGATGGGGTTTCATCATGTTGGCCAGAATGGTCTCCATCTCTTGACCTTGTGATCCACCCGCCTCAGCCTCCCGAAGTGCTGGGATTACAGGCGTGAGCCACAGCATCTGGCCACACGTGTAAACTTAATAGCAAAGATAAATAGATTGTACAAATTTGTATTCTCTTTATGTGAGTAGTTTTCCTCCAACTATTCATTCATTCATAGTATTCATTTGATGAGTATTTAACTGTTGTCCTCTCCATGCCTGATACTAGTTTAAGTGTTGGATGTGTGTAAAGGGGGAAGGAAAATGTAAGAAAGATAAGAGGACAAATTAATTGTTAAAGATGATAAGTTTGTGTCTTAACCACTCAGCCATTACAGCACCTTCAGAAGAATCTTGCTTCCGGTTATGTTCCTATCGCCTGTTCAAAGCACCTTGTCCACATTATCTTCTCTTTTCAAGGTATGTGTATGTGTTCCCTTTTTTTTTTTTTTTTTTTTTTTTTTGTGATGAAGTTTCGCTCTTGTTGTCCAGGCTGGAGTGCAATTGCACAATCTCTGCTCACCACAACCTCCGCCTCTTGGGTTCAAGTGATTCTCCTGCCACAGCCTCCCTCCCAAGTAGCTGGGATTACAGGCATGCACTAGCATGCCCAGCTAACTTTGTATTTTCAGTAGAGATGGGGTTTCTCCATGTTGGTCAGGCTGGTCTCAAACTCCCAACCTCAGGGGATCTGCCCACCTTGGCCTCCTAAAGTGCCGGAATTACAGGTGTGAGTCACCAAACTTTTTTTTTTTTAAAATAGAATCGAGGCCTCACTATGTTGCCCAGGTTGGTTTCAAACTCCTGAGTGCAAGTAATCCTCCAGCCTCCCAAGGTGGTGGGATTACAGGCATGAACCACCATGCCTAACCTCACATTTGTTAAGGAAGGCAATTTGTTTAGAAGGCAATTTTGCCAGTGTGGTGACTCATGCCTGTGATCCCACCACTGAGAGACTGTGGCAGGAGGATCACTTGGGCCCAGGAGTTTGAGACTAGCCTGGGCAACATAGGGAGATCCCTGTGTCAACAAAAAAAATTTAAGTTAAAAAAAAATTTTTTTTTTTTGAGACAGAGTTTTGCTTTTGTCACCCAGGCTGGAGTGCAATAGCGCAATCTCGGCTCACTGTAACCTTCGGTTCACTGCAACCTCTACCTCCTGGGTTCAAGTGATTCTCTTGCCTCAGCCTCTTGAGTAGTTGGGATTATAGGTGCCAGCCACCAGGCCCAGCTAATTTTTTGTATTTTTAGTAGACATGGGGTTTCACCATGTTGGTAGGGCTGGTCTTGAACTTCTGACCTCAGGTAATCCACCTGCCTTGGCTTCCCAACATGCTGGGATTACAGATGTGAGGATTACAGATGTGAGGCACTTTGCCTGGCCCCTACAAAAAGAAATTTTTTTAAATTAGCTGGACATGGTGGCACACACCTGTGGTTCCAGCTATTCTAGAGGCTGAAGTAGGAGGGTCACTGGAGTCCAGGAGGTTGAGGCTGCAATGAGCCGTGGTCATGCCACTGCACTCTCGCTTGGATGACAGAGCGAGACCATGTGTCAAAAACATAAAAGAAGGCAGCTTCAGCTCATGCGCTGAGCCCTGAGGTTACTGGGAACAGCAGGTACAAATATCTCATGAGGAGATACACAAGTTGACATAATTTGGATGAGAAAGGCTATTATGGTTGCAATATAATGATGAAGGAGGTTGGAGCTTGAGATGCAGATGGAGAACAGATGTACATGACTTAGAGGACAAAAGGAAGGAGTTGGGTTTTTATCTGAAATCTGATGAGAAATTATGTTTGCAGTTGTTTTCTCATCAGATTTTACTAAAATACGAAGAATCAGTAGGGAGGGTAGTAGCTGTCCTTTGGTAGCTTTCTAAGTACCACAAATTGTGCTAAAGGCTTTGTAGCCATTCTTTTATTTTATCCTTAGAATAATCCCATGAAGACCCTTCTAAATCTGATGTGATTTATAGCTGCAAGTTGATGGCAGTGTTTTAATCACTTTGTTTAAATAAACTACTGAATGAAATCAGTGTTCTTTTTACACTCACATTTCAGATGAGGAAGTGGAGGCTCAGAGAAGTGATGTAATTTACCCAAGATTACCCAACTAGTGAGTGGCAAAGCCAGGATGGAAACTAGGCATTCTAGTTTTCAAACCCTGAGAAATCAACCTTCATACTTCATTGCTTCTCTATTCCCTCATATTGTTCATAAGTCATATGGGTAAATAAATAGCGACACCAAGAGTGGAGCCCAATATTTTGACCCTAAAATCCACGCTTTTGAATACTACTTGATACTGGGCTGAGCAGATTTACAGATGGAAATTATGAGTTCCCTTTGAACATATTAAGGTGCTTATGTCTTAGCTTAGGCTTCTATGAATATCTTAAGGAGATGCTGCACTTTTAACTCTGATCTTCCTCAAAATTCTTAGTAGGTATTATCTCCATTTTATGAGTAATGAAAATTGGGGATTAGCGTTTAAGTTTGCTCAGGTTGGAATCTAGGTCTGTAATCGGCAAACTTTTCTGTAAAGATTCAATGAGTAAATGTTTTAGGCATTGAGGACTGTACAGTTTCCGTTGCAGCTACTCAACTGCCATGGCTCAAAAGCAGCCATAGACAAGTCATAAACAAGAGTGCTCGGTTCCAATATAGTTTTATATATGGACATTGAATTTTGAATTTCAATTATTTTCACATGTGAAATATTCTGTGGGGTTTTTTTCAACTATTTAGCATGTGCAATCATTCTTAGATGTGAGAGTACAAAATCAGACAGCAGGCTGGATTTGGCTGGTGGGTGATTGGATTCTAAACTTTGGATTGTTTTCACAGCTACTAATAAAAATCACAGAAATAAAAATTACAGAAACATTCATAGGATTGTTCTAAGGATTAAACAGGAAAATGACTCTAAAGCACTTAAGTTTTATCTTATTTTTAATTGACAAGTTATTTATTTATTTTTGGGGTATACTGTGATGTTTTAATATATGTATGCCCTACTGAGCCTTTCGTCTTTTGCATACCACTGGCACAGAATTAAATTTGTGAGTGGATTCCAAGTTGCATTGTAATAAGGCTACCAGTAAGTGGCACTCTTACCTCAGGTTTAAGAACTGTAGCTGGTTGTAGAGGAGACTAAAGTGAAGAAACCCAGAAGTACTGCCCTAACTGACCCTAACTCTGGGGAGTTTGAATCAGAATTAAATTGAATCATTAGATACGTACTTGTTCTGTTGAATTAGAGAAGTGGTTGGTGTTGGAAAACACCCTAGAATCCTAGAATTTGGGCTCTACTGTTTAATCAGCTGTGTATCTTGGTTTGGTATATTAACTTCCATAAAACTCAACTTCCTTAATTATGGTAAACATAATCCGAATCTCCCCATAGCATAGGTAGCATCTAATGGTGAGAATGAAAGAGAAGACCCATCCTAATTCTTTCTGAAACTCATTTGCCTCCAAGCAACATACTCAGGGCCTGCTAAACACCTATGCAGAAGCATCTGCTCTGGAAGGGCAGCAGGAGTGCCCTAGAGGCTTAACTGGTGCTTGAGTCTGGGTATTTGAGTCACTACTACTTGCAGGGGAGAGTGATAAAGAAAAAAAAAAAGTGGAAGGCACAAATAATAGCAGAAATGAAAGGGGGCATTATTATAGTTATTATAGTAAAAAATAAAATGGATTTTTAAAATAATTTAGAAAATTTAGACAAAATGGACAAATTCTTAGAAAATTAACAATACAGACTGAGGAACAGGAAACCAGAATAATTCTGTAACAATTAAAATAAAATGGATCAATAGTCAAAATCTTCTCACAAAGAAAACTTCAAAGTTCAAACAGCTATACTGGTGAATCTTAAAGTCGGTTGATTAGCAAAAACAAATAAACAAAAACACAAAACCAAACAAGCAAAAAATAGCTTTGCTGGCAAGTCTGCCAAACATTGCCAGCAAAAATACACAAGTAAATAAATAAATAAAGATTCTAAGCCCGGGCACGGTGGCTCATGCTTGCAATCCCAGCACTTTGGAAGGCTGAGGCAAGTGGATCATGAGGTCAGGAGTTTAAGACCAGCCTGGACAACTTAGTGAAACCCCGTCTCTACTAAAAATACAAAAAAAAAATAGCTGAGTGTGGTAGCAGGTACCTGTAACCCCAGGCACTTGGGAGGCTGAGGCAGAGAATTCCTTGAACCTGGGAGGCAGAGGTTGCAGTGAGCTGAGATTGCACCACTGCATTCCAGCCTGGGTGACAGAGTGAGACTCCCTCTCAAAAAAAAAAAAAAAAAAAAGATTATTTAATTTTTATTTTATTTATTTTATTTTTATTTTATATTTTTTAGAGATGGGGTTTCTCCATGTTGGTCAGGCTGGTTTTGAACTCCCAACTTCAGATGATCTGCCTGCCTTGGCCTCCCAAAGTGCTGGGATTACAGGCATGAGCCACTATGCCCGGTCTAAGATTCTGATCTCTCTCTCTTTTTTTTTTAAATAGAGACGGGGCTTCTCCATGTTAGCCAGGCTGGTCTCCAACTCCTGACTTCAGGTGATCCAGCCGACTTGGCCTCCCAAAGTGCTGGGATTACAGGTGTGAGCTACCATGCCCAGCCAGATTCTGGTTTTATACAGACTTTTTCAGAGAACAGAAAAACAGGAAATATGTCCCAGCTTTTTTTATGAGGTTAGTACTAAATATTAGCAAATTGAACCCGATAATATGTAAAAATAAAAGGTAATGTATTATGGTTAATCTGTGCTTATCTCAGGAATGTAGAATAGATAAATAATAGGTCACAACAATATAAATTGAAGAAAAATCACTTGGTCATCTCAAAAGATATGCAAAAAGCAGTTATAAAATTTAGCATCAGCTGGGCGTGGTGGCCCATGCCTGTAATCCCAGCATTTTGGGGGCTGAGGTGGGTGGATCACTTGAGGTCAGTAGTTAAAGACCAGCCCGGCCAACATGGTAAAACTTGTCTCTCCTAAAAATATTTCAAAAAAATAATAATAATAATAATTAGCTGAGCATCGTAGCCCACAACTGTAGTCCCAGCAACTTGGGATGCTAAGGCAGGAGAATTGGTTCAACCAGGGATTTGGAGGTTGCAGTGAGCTGAGATCTCACCACACACTCCACTCCAGCCTGGGCACAGAGCAAGCTCTGTCTCAAAAAAAAAAAAAAAAAATAGCATCTATTCATGAAAAAGAAATAAACTTTAGGATATTCAAAGACTTCCGTAATATAATAAATAGTAGCTCCTTAAAACCTATAGCCGGGCCGGGTGCGGTGGCTCAAGCCTGTAATCCAACACTTTGGGAGACCGAGGTGGGCGGATCACCTGAGGTTGGGAGTTTGAGACCAGCCTGACCAACATGGAGAAATCCCCGTCTC